CAGCTGATGATTAAAATAAACCACGTACCATTGATTTATTTTCAGCATAACCAGCTCAAAATTCATAAACATCTATGATGACTAGTCAGGCTCCAGTTAATTTATTTGCTTTAGATCAAAATAGTCAAGCATAACCATAAACTAATAAAGAATCTGATAGATATAAAAACAAATTTAAATAAAATACTGTTAAATATAATACTGCTGCATAAAGAATGGAATGAATAATTAAATATTTTTCATATAGGATAAAATAATTGCTTTGAGAACATAAAAATACTCAGAGTAGACTATATAAGTAATTACTAAATGAATTTAATTTAATTTCATTTTTTTTCTGAATCCACAAAATTTCCATCATCTTATATATTATTTCCCCATCCATTAAATATACTTCTCAAATAACCTTTTCTTTACATATTTTTATTTTAATCATTTTATTAATCTTAAGATATTAAAAAAAGACTATTAAAAAATGTTTATCAAATAATCTCATAATTCAATAAATTCTTTTTGATATATATATATATAATTATGAGGTATTTAAAAAAAAAATTATTAAATTTTTCATATGCAAGCATTGATTATTTGCTTTTATTAACCTAAAATTAACATTTTTAATAGCATTTTGATAATCTTCCATTTATATTTATTTACATATATATCAATCAATTTCATCAAGTTGAGTTGACTGTCCAAAATTACCAATTGTATTAATTTCCACTTATTCACTTCCATGTTCACTAGCTCCATCAACACTCTTCTAATCACCATCTATACTTCTATGTTCACTATGTCCATCTGCAATTCTTGAGGCATTTTCAGATTGATTATCTGATTACTTATCTGAGTGTTTTTCTGATTAGTGTTCTGAATGCTAAGCAGATTATTGAGCAGATGATCTAATATCACTAGTATTTGATTAAGTATTATAAGTTGATAAATGTGAAGGTTCTTCATTATCTGAAGCATTATCTACTTATTATAATTATTCTTATTATTATTCTTATTATTATTATTCTTGTAATTATTATTATTCCTCTCTATATTTACGAATCATATCTTTAAAATTCTAATGTTATCTCATATGTTCTTCTTCTTATTCTTTTTTATACTTTTATCTCTCTTCTCTCTCCATATCTAATCCTCCTTTTGAAAAAGCTTCTGCAAATCCTTAATATTTTATATATAAATATTTTACTTCTTTCATCATCAAACACAGGTCTGTCATCTAAATACTTTAAGGTCTTAATTCTACTAATGAGAGTTTTTCGATAATGTTGTATTTACCTTCCAGCAGAATTGTTCTAGAAATACAACACTGATAATTATGGCATTTTTAAAAATATTTCATCTAAAACATTGGGGTCATCTATTTTATTATCTGATACATCCAACACAGACAAATTTGGTAGGCAAAGTAATCCTTCCAAATCACTTAGTCCATTCAATCCTATTCTATTTCTTTTTATTTAAAGAGTCTATAATTTTTAACATTATTCCAACCTATAAACATTTAAATTTACTATTTATACCCTTCAATCTTGCTTATCATATTATCACTTAGATTTAAATTAATTAGCTCTGTTAACATGTGTAAGTTTTCAATTTTTCTAATAATGTTTTCTTATAAATATAAACATTTCAAAGAAGTCAAACAATCAAGTCCTATTAGGATACAAATTTCAATATACCTTCAATATTGTTTAGACCATTTCCCTCTAAGTAAATAACTTTTAATCCTGTGAACTCTTCAAGATTCTCAATCTTATCAAAACCTTTGTAATGCAAATAGAGACAATCATTGAGCTCAGGAGTTGTGTAATAGAGCTTAAATTCTTTTCTTAAAAGCTTTTTCAAGTACTCTTTGGTAATTCTTCTCTCTTCCTGTTACATTATTTAATAATAATAATATTTATAAGGTTATTGTGAGAGGCTTTAACAAAATTAAGAGAGGCTAAGATGACAAATTCTTATTATGATATTTAGTTTATTATTAATCATATTAGTTCATATTTATAGATCAGGCATTTAATTTTGAAATATAAGAAATTAAATTATTTTCATATAAATGGGCGACAAGAAAATCAAAATAGATGAATACAAAGAGATTCGTTTAGGTGGATTTCAAGCAAGATCGCATAATTGGTGGGAAGAGGCCAATCCTGAAGAATCAGAAGAAGAAGAACAATAGGGTCAAGAATGGAGGTATTTAGAACATCATGGAGTTTTGTTTCCCCCATTTTATAAGAGACATAATGTAGGTCTAATTTATAATGGCAAATTAATAACATTAACAGAAGAATAAGAAGAACTTTGTACTTATTGGGCATAATCGATTGGATCTCCATATGAGTTTAAGGAAATTTATAGGAAGAATTTTGAATCACTTATGCAAACAAAATTTGAAGGGTTTTAATTGGATAATGCTGATTTCACTAAGATAAAAGAATATTTGGAATAGTAAAGATTATTGAGATTAAATAAATCAGATGAATAAAAAAAATAAGAGAAATTAGAAAGAGATTAAAGAGAATTATTTTATGGATATGCTTTAGTTGATGGTTGTTTAGAAAGAGTAGGTAATTACACATTGGAATAACCTACTTTATTCAAGGGACGTGGTGAACATCCAAAAGCTGGATTATTGAAAGCTAGAATATTTCCAGAAGAATTAACAGTAAATCTAAGTACTTAGGCTCCAGTACCTTAATGCAAATTGCCTGGTCATTCTTGGGGTAAGATTGTACATAGAAATGATGTTACTTGGTTATTTTCTTATGTGGATTCAAGTATTAGGAAAGATAATCATAAATATGTTTAATTTGCTGCCACTTCGAGATTTAAATAGATGAATGATAAAAGGAAATATGAAAAGGCAAGGAGATTGAAGAATTGTATTGATTAAATTAGAGAAAATTATACAAAGAAATTATAATCTGATTCAATTAAAGAAAGATAATTAGGAACAGCAACTTATTTAATAGATAAATTGGCATTAAGAGTAGGAAATGAGAAAGATGAAGATGAAGCAGATACAGTTGGTTGTTGTAGTTTAAGAGTAGAACATATAAAATTGAAGGAAGATGATGTAGTTGCCTTTGATTTTTTGGGTAAGGATTCTATGAGATATAATAATGAAGTTAAATTAGCACATTAGATTTGGAAAAATCTTAAATTATTTATTAAAGGAAAATAACCAGAAGATAATTTATTTAGTGATATAAGTGTTGATGATTTGAATGATTTTTTAAAAAAATAAATGGAAGGATTGACAGCAAAGGTTTTTAGAACTTATAATGCAAGTTTTACACTTCAATAATAACTTGATTTAGGTGGTACTTTAGATGGTCATTCAATTTAATAAAAAGTAATATTTAATTATATATTTAGGTTGATTTCTATGATAATGCTAACAAATAGGTTGCTATCTTATGTAATCATTAAAAAACTATTTCAAAATAATTTGAATTAACTAAGAAGAAAATCAATACTAAATTAGAATGCATGAAAACATATATACAAGAATTGGAATAACATTATAAGAAGAAGAATCCAAATGAATATGAAGAGGAAATTTAATTAGAAGAAGGATCTTAGAAGAAGAATAGTATCTTTATAAAGAAGTTCCCAGGGTAACATGATAAGATCAAATAGATGATATAGAAGACTTAGGAAAAATATTAAAAGGAGTTGAAATGTTTAGAAAAGAAAGAAGAAAATAAGGAGATTGCTTTAGGAACATCTAAAACAAATTATAATGATCCTAGAATAAGTGTGGCATTTTGTAAAGTACATGATGTTCCCATAGAAAGAGTGTTTTCAAAAACTTTAAGAAATAAATTCATTTGGGCTATGGCTACAGATTCTAATTGGAAATTTTGATTATGATTAATTGTCCATTATTATACATAATTTATAATAAAAATAATAATATCCAATATATGAATACTAAGATTAATTAATACTTTTAAAAGTTTGAGATTGTAAATTAATAAGAGAAAATAGATGATGAATCATTTAAATATTTTACTATCAATTTTGATTCATCAATATTAGTTGGATTAAATTGGACATTCATTTATATTTATAAAATCTAAAACAATGGTCAGATTATAAAGACTTAAATAATTTCAAATTAAGAATCGCTCATAAATCAAATAAAATTTATGAATTCAGGCAAAACATTCATTACTATTGGATATGGAATAAGTTTTTGGTCACTTAATGAAAATAGCCTTTGAGAAAGATAAAATAAGATTTGTTTGGAAGAGGGAATTAAATTCCTAATATTTACTAAAGATGAAACAAGAATAATATTTTCATAGGTAGGATCCTTGCATTTTTGGAAAAAAAGAAAGTCTAAAAACTTATGGAAAACTCATTTCTATTTTGAGTTAAAAAAAAAGATTTAGAGTTTAAGTTTAAGTAATTCAGAGAAAGAATTATTGATTGGAATGCATAGTATAATACTTATAGCAAGAAGTTGTGATAGTTATAAATGGTATATTTCATATAAGATAAGAATAACATATTCTAGTCTTTAGACAATAGCGAGTTTTTTAGATTAAGATATGTTTGTAATTTAAGCTAACAATTGTGAAAATTTAACACTATATTAATGGAATAGATGGGGTAGAAAATTGATAAGAGTTAATAATTTAAAATTAGGAATGGATACTGACTTTTTTCATGAAAATTAAATTAGATTTGAGTAGGAAAGTTAAATATTGTTTAATAAATATAAAAAAAACTTTACGAATATTTAAATTAAATAATAGGGAATTAGATTTATAGTAATCAATAAAATTCACGAATTGTGAATATAGTTTTTATAATTCTAGAGATTGTAAGTTTTTAATTGTAAAAAATTGGAAGGAGAAAGGTTTTACTACATGGTATAGATGAAAATATAGAGTAGTTCTAGCATAGTGAGCATGATGTTTTTATAATGAATATTATGTTTAATATTAGATATATATAGGAATAAATAAAAATAAATGATAAATTTATCTGACAGAGAAAAAGAGTTGATTGAAGAAATATGTGCAAAAAATGCTAAGTCAAATAAAAAGAGTAATAAAATAGAATAGGGAAATCAAAAATTAGTCAGTCAATCAAGTACTAAAATTTTAGTGTCTCGATTGGAACGTAAATTAAATGAAGTATTTCATATTGCAAATATAGACATTAAAAGAAGTCGATGAATAAAATAGTGGTCAAATTAATTTCTAACAATTAGGACGATTATTTACATTGTTAGACATATTCCAAGCTATCTCGTACAATCAAGATTATCAGTTAGAGGCACAAGGTCTCAACAATCCTATGCAAAAGTAACACCAAATCTTTAAGGTAGACAATAAGAAGTAGATTTACATGAGAAAGCATTTGCAATTATTTCTAACGATGAAGAAAAGGCTGATATACAAGCAGCATTTTGTCTTTTTAGAATCATCTTGGATCCCAATTAATTAGAACCATCTAAATGTGCTATTTTAATTAAAGAATATTTAGAGAAGATTTCTGAGAAAGAAATTGATTATGAAGCTATCTTTAAATTTTGCTCTGAATTTTAAGTATATCAAAAAACTAGATTATCTGGTGCTAAAATAGGATATTTAAAAGCATCTTTAGCATAAAATCTAATTGAAACTTATGAAAAGACTTTGACTTTTAAACCAACAATCAATCCTATTAGTGAAGCTTTGTAATAATAATAATCAGGCAAAAAGGAAAATTAAGAATCATCATCATAAATTTCATAAGGACTTGCTGAAAGTAGAATAAATGAATTATATAAAAAAAAAGAATTATCCAATCAAAAGATAGAATTTTTAAAATAAGAAAAATTTATGAAAGATATGTAGTAATGTACATTTAAACCATAAATTATCTCAAAAAAAGAATTACCAAATGTGATCGATAGGTTATATTAAGTGAAGAATAGATAGGAAATAGAAGAAAGAGCTAAATTGGCTGAACAAGAGAAAGAAGAATCAGAATATAGTAAATGTTCTTTTCATCCTCAAATTAATTATTCTATGCCTGAATCACAATAAACTGGAGTAGGGGGATATTGGGAAGCAATAGAAAGAATTAGAAGAGCTAATGATAAAAGACATTTATAAGATCTAAAATTAAATCATAAACCTAGTGGAGAGAACTATGAGAAAGTTAAGAATCAACCATTCTCACCTCCAGAAATGTTATAGAGAAGATAATTTAAAAAATAATTACCAATCCTTTATATTGATATAAAATTGGGACCTAGAAAGGTTGGACGATTAGCATTGAGAAGAAATGATAATGTTGAGGAAGTAGTTTAATCATTCTGTAAAGTTTGGGGAGTTGGTCCATAAGATTATGAATTATTGGTCAATCAAGTTAAGGAAAATCTTCAGAAGTAAATATTTATTAAATTATTATAGTGTTATACAAGAAACAGATGAGTCCCAAATTTGATTATGAATATGAATACTTATTTAAATGAAATATATCAGATTGAATTTTTCATAATATTTCATTTTATTTCGATTGTAATTATGGACCCCAAAAACCAAAGTAATAAGCTGTATTTGGTTGGTTCCTAACCTAATCAGCTTAAGGTTAGTTTTAAGGTACTTGATCATTATTTTAAATAGGTGATTATTAATTATTATTTTATTCTAATTAAGTATTTGATAAATTCTGATTTAATTATATGGAAGGAACTTCATTCTAATTTACTTGTTATGGTGATTAATTTTCATATGTTTATGATGATTACTATTATTATTATTATTGATTTGGCTCGATAGAAAGACTGATTGCCTAATTCTATGAAGGATTTTATTGAAAATATGGATTAGTTTGTTAATTAATATACTACTATGGTTATTAAATTCCAGGTTGAATGTAATTTGTTTAAGGTTATTGTTAATATCCCATTTTATAATTAACAGGAATACCCATTTAAGGTACATTTTAGAAATTCTATTGTGGATTCTATTAAAATTATTGTTAACCTTAAGGATTCTACTAATATTATTGATAACCTTAAGAAGGCTATTAATACTGTTGATTCATAGGTGGCTATTAATATTGTTATTGTGGCATCTTATTAATGGGTGCCCCTATTGGAGAAACTTAATTTCGATTTTACGGAATGCCCCAAATTGTATTTCCATAAGATTATTACAGCAACTGAGGTTATTGTACATAGATAACACTTGGATCATTAGGATCAACAAAGGCTTAACTTTAAGTTCTTGCAAAGTTTTCCATCATACGAGCATCAGGAACTCGTTATCCAGAACCTCGTGCTCTTCTAATTTATGTTAATACAGAAAATAATATCCTTAGAAACCTATCACACCCTAGTATGTTAAATGATTCCTACCTCCTGCTTTGAACCATAATTTAAAATGAGTTCTTCCTGGTAATAGATTATATAATGGATCAACATCCCCCTCTAAAAAATTACTTCCTAATATTGGTTGTCGAAATCTCTCAGCACTCAAATAAGCCAAGGGAATATCAAAAGACTTAAAAGATTCCCTTTAAAAATTGTCATTTACAAAAACAATTCTGCATGTTGTGACAAATACCTAAATTTTAACAATAACTTACTTTTCCTCTTGCTTTAAATTTACCCATAGTTTCAATCTTAAATTATCCTTCCATTTCATTTCTATACAATATAAAAAACTCTTGGTCCACTCTTAATGGAACCCCAGTTTAAGTGATAGGTGGATTTAAAGCCATATTATTGAATTATTTTTATATATGTATATTTTTTTCAATAAATTATTTTTACACTAAAAAAATAATAATAATTAAATAATTAAAATAAAATATATTAGAATTTTTACTAATAATTTCTAAATATATTAAGATATTAATTGATAGACATTAGACAATTATATTATTTTATTTGTAATATAATATATTTATTATTGTATTAAGCATCAACGATTGGTTTTTGCTACTTTTTCAAGTTCATCTCTCTTTTTAATGGTGTATGATTTTTATCCATCTTCATTGGCTGCTGCAATAAGCTCATCAGCAAGAGCTTCTGCAATAGTCTTCATTTTCTTGAAAACTGATTCTCTAACACCTTTTGCTAAATTGTGGACTGCCTAAATGAAGTATATTTTGACATAATTACTTCATTGACTCTTCTTATTGGAGCAACATCAACAGCTTATTATTTAGCAACACCACCTGTGCCAACCTTTGTGAAGTCTTCTCTGGCTCCACCTCTTTGTACAGCCAAAGACAAGACTTAAAGTGGATTTTTACCAGTTAACAAATGTACAATCTCAAATGCATGTCTGATGATAGCAACAGCCTTTACTTTTTTACCTGTATTACGTCCATGGAACATGAGTGCACCAGCCAATCTTTCTACAATAGGACATTATGCTTTTCTAAATTTCTTTCGTTGATATCTATTTTAGAATGAAAGTGATACCTTCCAGCAGTATGAGGAACAAAAACTCTAGATTTTGAAGTTTAGACTGCAATGTAATCTTTGAAACATTAATCTGTAACTTGAACTTCATCATAATCCCATTTGCCAAATAGTTTAGGTTGATTAGCAAATTTCACAGTCACTATTTATTCTTCTGCCATTTTTAAAATAAGGATTTATTTTTAATTTAAAATTCCTAATACTATAGAGATCCTATGACATTGAAGATAAAATATATATAAATATAATTAAATAATACTGTCAAGCAGGTAATTGAGCCAATTACTTAAGTCTATCTTATAAATTTTTGACTGATTTCTACAATTCATCAATTTCTAGATTTTATTTTTTATCAATATCATCATTATCTCTTATAGAATCCTATATAGAAGCAGCTGTCTTTTATGATTCTTCTAATCTAGTTTAAATATTTTTGATTTCATTATTAATTTTAAGATTTGAATCCTCTAAATCTCCTTCTAATTTTGAATTTTTTTAATCAATTAATTTAAGTTCTTCTTATAATTATTAAAAATTAGAATTGATGGCATCTACTCTTTCTCCAATAGTTAAAGTTTTATCATTTACTTATTCAACATTTTAAGTTATTATTTAAAAAGTATTATGAATTTTTTTCTATTCTTCATTTAATAATTCAACATTCTTATCTATATCTTATTATTTAATCATAATAGTTTCATTCTCTTTTTTAAGTATTTCAATATCTGTTTGATTTTCATCTAATAAACTTTTGTGTTAAACCTATATATCATTTATTTCTTTGATATTAGTATTAATTTATTGAATATCTTATTTAGTATTTTCAACTACTTAATTTACTTCCTTAATTTGATTCTAATGGTCTTCTTTTATCAATTATTATTATTATCTATATTGAATGGAACATATAAATACTTCAACTCTTAAATACTTTCAGCCATTAATTTTAATCCTTTCATTTGAGTCTATTAATAAGACTCATTTTAATCAAGAATAAGTTTTGTTTTTTCTACTACTACTTATTGATTTTCTTCAATTACTTCTCTAAATATCCTAAATTTATTTGAACAATCTTCATCTAATTTATTAACTTTATCCTCTAAAAATTAGACAGTAGCATTTACAGCTTCCAAAATTTGATTTTTTTCAATTGATATTCTTTCCAATAAATGTGTCTATTAATCTTCTATCACAGTTTAAAAGTCTTATCTAATCATATCAATATTCTATTCAATAATAGTCTACCGAGAATTAAGATCTTATTTCAAACCTTCATAGGCAGTTATATGTTATTTAAAGGATTCACCAAATTTTGAAAATATCACCTTAACTTTTTCATATTTCTAAGCAGATGTCTTAATTGCCTATAAATATAATTAAATTAAAATTTTTTACTTTATTTATTTCATCATCAATATACAAAGATAATCTTTCTGCTTTTTCAGCTTAATCTTTCTCTAATTATTTAACTTAAGTTTATAATGCTCTATTAGCCATTTCAATCTAATCTTTTAAACTATTCAAATCCGAAACAATATCACTTGCAATTGCTGATGTTAGATTCTTCAATTCAGTATCAGTTGATAATCTTGTTTAAACTTCAATTCTTATCATATCTGTAATCTTTTCTGTAATATTAGCTTAATGGGTTTTAAATAATTCATTCTCTTATTTGATATTCTCTTATATTTTTAATAAATCGCCTCTTAATTAAACTTCATGTGAATATCTTTAGGCTTCTTCATTTTATATATTTACTAGTATTTAATTCACTTATGTCTCAATAATAGTTTATAATGAACGAATGGCTTCATCCTTTTTTTATGAATCAATTCTTTAAAATTATTCTAATGATCCTAATTTTTAAATAACTTCTTCCCTCTCATATTATAATCTCTCCATATTAATCTAATCCTTTAAACTCCATGCTTATTTCATTTCTTCTATAGTTTTAACTCTCTATTCATGTTCCATAACAATTCTATTAATGACTTCAGTTACTCTAGTATCTAATCTTTAAGTATAATCTTATTAAATTAATTATAACATTCCCTTAAATTCTTCTTAGATTCTCTAATTAGCCATATCAACTCTATTAATCTATTCATGATCTTTTAATTAATCTTTCTAATCCAATAATTATATAATCATACTCCTAATGCTAATAAATTTGCCTCCAAAGCCATCACTCTCTTCTCTATTCTTTCATTTGTTTCATTAATAAAATTCATTCCAGAATCACCTCTCTATGCTACTTAAATCAAAGCTTTCTCCCCATTATATATCTTGCTTTCCATCCCATTAATTCTTTACTCAAAATGTTGATGAGAAGTAGAAAGTGATTCCTATAACTTTTCTTACAATTCTCCCAATCTCACCATTTCCATAAATAAAGCTTTGGTCTTCTCTCTTTCTTTTTACAGATGTGAACTTTCTTCAGTTATTTTTTCTTGTAACATTCCTCGCATCTACAATACCTCATTAGTATCTTTATTTTAAGTGTTCTTCAAAAAGTACAACAATTCCTTAAGATTTTATTCCTAGATAGCCACTTTAGAACCCAATTCACTCTTTTACCTATCTTATGCTATTATTTTTGTTTCAAGCGAATACATCTTATTCTACAAGTCTTCAAACATTTAGTTTGGCTATTACCATTATATAATTAATACATCCCCCATTTATCCTCTTGTCCTTACTTCTCTTTCCAGGTCAACTAACATTTTAGAATTCCGCTTAACTTCCTGTGTAAGTTACTTTTCCAACATTTACACTTAATCCTATAATTAAGCAATCCTATCCATTTAAAACTAACTTTATTCCTAATTCTCAACAGGCACTGAAGTATTTGCAAAGTTTCTCCTTGATTCAGCTGTTCTTGTAGGTTCATTCTTGACTTCTTAAGACCGACGATAATCAGGTGCTTAGAATCTAGATTCACCTGTAATTGGATTTATGGCTTAACGACCTGCCTTTATATTAGATATCATAATCTTACTTAACTTAAACTCATTTAGAATATTTTGTATATATATAATGATAATTAATATAATTTTTTAGATAACTAATTAAAGCTCTTCATAGTTATTAATTTCAAATGTAATATTATCTATTTTTTAATAGCTATATTAATATATTGAATGATTATAATAAATTCATTAAATTCAAGCATCTTCATCATCTAAATCATGTCCATATTATCCATCATCATCAGCAAATCCTTCATCTATTTCCTCTTTAATTTATTCATCATCATCATCATTCTTCTTCTATTTTGAATCAGGTTTCTTTTGTTCCATTTTCTATATTACTTACTTTTTATTTTTTTTCAATGCATCCTTAAAATTATCTGGTAAATCAGTTTTACATCTTCCATACTCATACTCTACTTCTACTTATTCATTTGTTTCTAATAATATCAAAACTCCTTTCCCATGAAAAGTATCCTCTCTGAAATTTCCTATATATTAAACCTTCTAATTACTATAAGTATACTTTCCTTCCAATGAAGCTAATTTTATATATATATATATTATATACATCTTTATCCATTTTAAAATAATCCCTTATACTCACTTCCATCCTCATAAAGTAATACTCCATCTTTTGCTTTATTATTTTCAAATTCTCCTTCAAATGTTAATTCTCCAAAATATAACTTTCCTGAAACTCTTTTGAAATCCTCAATAATGCCATCATAAAAATGATTAGGACCATAAGTAAAAATCCCTTCTCTTGGACTATTTTTGGCAAATTAGCCATCAAAGAAGGATTTGTTTCTATAGAATTCTCTACCTTCTATCTTTTCACCTAATTTTAGATCTCCTTCAAAATTAATAACTTATCTCTTCCTTGGTAAATTTTTTTGATAAGTCAATACATATATTATTTCACCTTTGCCATTAGGAATATATTTCTATTGATCAAATTCTCCAATATAAATATATTTATTCAATTCAACAATAATTTTTGAATGATTTTCAAATAAATTCAATAGAATATATGAAACAGCTTTTTATGTCTTCATCTCAATTGTCCCATCTTTACTTAACTCACCATTTTCAAATATTCCATAATGCCATTAATCTTCAAATTTCCCATATCCATATCCATGAGGTATAATCTTATTATCCTCATCTAACTTACCAAATCCAACATATTATTAATCAACATCAATAGCTTATTAAAAGAATGGATATTCAACTTTTAATGGATTATCTGGATAGCAAATCAATAATTAGAAAATAGATCTCTTTTACTGATCCAAAGATAATATTTAAGATAAGATTGGTAATATCATTTTATAATCTCCTTCAAATGGCTTTTCAATTTTAGATAAAGAATTAATCTATTTTTTTAATTAATCTTTGAATTTATCGAATTTCAATTAATCTTCTTTTGATCTGTCAGTTTTTTAATTTTCTCTAAGTACTTTGAGTACTGATTGTAATATATTATCTTTAAGTTATCCATCCTCAAAAAAAAAATCAGCAGAATTAATCTTAGTAATAGCGCATAAGACAACCAAACCAGCTTAAAAGGAATAAGTATAAATTAAATTTGCAAGGGATTTATCCTTATAAAAGTTGTCTGTACTAGGTGTATAAGGTCTATGAAATTTAGATCCTTTGTATGAAATACCCATATTTGAAATAACAAAATTTTTACCATCTACAAATATATTTTATGGGGCAAGATCTAAAAATTCAAAAGTTGAGCGACCTATTATTATAATGATAATATTATACCTGTAATAAGTAGATTCTTACAAAATGTAATAAGTAATTCTAATGCTTATTCTTAATTTAATTATTCTTCTTAATCTAATCTCTTTTTCAATGCATTTAATCTATATAAAACATATAAATCAGATTGTTTATCATTTATCTCTTTTTCTGCTATCATTACTATTCTAGTGTTATATTCATTAACACATTCCAACATTGCTTTTTATAATTACAAGACTTTGGTTCTGAATATATCATAACCTAAATTTTCATAAATCTAGAGTATATATTTCTATCCATCCTTTGCATGAGACATAAGATAACAAATTGATGAAATTCCCAAGTAAAAATCTCGTCCTCTTCCTATTACACTTTCTTAAGTGTAATTCTTATTTATGTAACTGGCATCAACTACAATTGAATTGTATTATTATAACATTAAATTAAAAATAATATCAATCACTAAACAAGATAATATCAAAATCATATTAACAATCTAAGATTAACATAATAAGGAATATGATATATTCATATTAATTTAGAACAAAAATTATATCAAGATTTATTGACTAATTCAGGATGCTTGAGTTTTATATGTTAGTTTAATGAACCTTCACTTCTAAATATAATATTATTATTATTACCCATATTTCTTACCACATCTTGATAATGGACATTCAAAATTGCGTTAAATTTCACTGGCTAGACTTCTCAATCTTTTTTTCCTTTCTTCAAATGACTAGTTATTTCCATCTTTCTAATTATAATATATTGTATTTCTACTTCTAATTGTTCAAGTTTTTAAAGTATTTCAGTTTTCTCTTTAAGAAGTTCCTTAATCTAAATAAATTCTAAGTATATGTCTTTACTTTTTTTCTTAAATTGATATTGCAAAGATATTACTAGATATATTCACCTTAATAGTCACCCATCAATTTAAATTTAATTCTTTTTAATATTAATCATATTTTGCAAATCATAAAATATATAAGATCAAACCAATATTTTTTTTTTACACATTCATATTCCATTTTCCTATAACCAATTAACATTATTATTTGCTTATAGGAAAATTAATTCAAATTCAATCACATCATTTCTAATTTATACTTATTAAAATACTAGAATTGACATTTTAATCTATATAAATATGTTAAATAAGAACCTTATAACATCTTCTTATTTACTTTTTTAATTCTCTAAAATTATCAACAAATTCTATTCATTTTTAATGTATTATATTTTGTATATAATTCTTCTAATGGCAATTCATTTATTTTATAAACATAAACTCACTCTCTCGAATATTAAGTGAACAGTAACATAGTAATATATAAAAGTAACTATTTTATGATAGGTTTAATTTTTCAATTTATTTGATCATACTCTAAAGTATAGATGATTGATTATGCAAATCATATTATAATTAATTATTTAATACTTTTTAATTTATTTGTTATGGCATCAAAGTATTTGTAAAAATATCCAGTTCCTGAAAATTTTCACTAAATTTTGCATGATTTTACAAGAGAAGTATTTAAATAACTAAATATATTTTTACAGGTTTTAAGGGATTAACCAGATGATATTATTAAATATGGTATGGAATATTTTGAATCTATGAGAGATGGAAAACCATTTAACTTTTAAAGCAAATACAATATAGCTAAAGGATAGGCAATAGAAAAGAAATATTAAACAACTAAACCTAAAGATTACATAGAATAAAGCAAAAAAGTTGTTGATATATCCAATCTAAAATAAGATGTTGAAAGAAAATCCTCTGCACCTGCTGTCTCATCTGTGAGATAACTTTCAGCAGGTTCTTAAGCTAGTTTTCCAGAAGAGAAGAAAGCTGCTGTAGATTATGTTAATGAACTATATTAAAAAGTTGAACATGATATTGATTAATTTGAATCTGGTAAAAGTGAAACTTAAAATGCTTTTTTCTAACCTTAATTTGTAATTATAATAAAATTATATTAGGATGGTAAAGACTTAGAAAAAATAATAAAAATATAAGCTAGTGCCAAAGGAATGTTAGTTAGAAACTAATTAAAATAATAACAATAAGAAGGTAATATGATATAAGAGGAAGAAGAAGAAGTTTATGTATAAGTGGCATAAAAGCCACATGAGGATGGTGAAGATTAAGATAATCTATAAGATGAATAAATTGAATGAATAAGTAAAACGAAATATATAACATTTTGTTTGATTTAATATAATTTTCATTTAATATTTTAATAAATTCATTTTTCATTATTTCTTATTATTAGCATAGTGTAAGTAAATTGATAAAAAAGAAAGAGAAAACCTATTGAGTAATATACTCTTAAATTCAAATATACTTAAATGATTAAATATTCAAAAGTTAATTTTTAGATTAATGAATGAATTACAATAATGTTATACATTTTATATTTGTAGATGTCCTAAAATCATAATTTAATTGAGATTGATCCTTTTAACATTAGAGTTCAAATATCTATTAAATTAAATTCTATCATAAATAATTAATTATTTACATATATATTAAAATTAGAATATAAGGAATAAGAAAGTTATCTATCTTCTTAATTAATTTAAATAAACTTATATAGAATAACAATATGATTTGGTTTCAATATCTTATCATTATGTTAGACAATATAATTATATAAATTTGTTGAATAATTAAAATATTAGATTATGAGTTTCAAGTACAAAATTTCATTTTTAAATAGAATAATTATTTGAATAATAGATAAGAATTTAAATTATGATCAGGTAGTACATGTGTCATGCCATAATTCAAGAAGATTAAGTTAATATTGATTATTGTACATATATTAAATTAATTATTTATGTAAATACAAAATAAAATTGGAGAAGGATTATTCGGTCAAATCCACAAATGCTTAACCGTAGAAGGAGACACTTGTGCTATAAAGATTTATAAAGAAGAATGTCCCAAAAAATTAAGGGAAAAAGAGATAAAGATTCTACAATCAATTAGTCACACAAATATTTAGAAAATTGTGAAGTCAGATTGTGAATACAAATGGTTTATTACAGAACTCATGAATCAAGATCTTTATTCAGTAATCACTAAACGTGGAATTCTCTAATAGATCACTATTAAATAAATTCTATTACAACTATGTAATGGATTGACTTACTTACATTCTATTGGCTATGTTCATAGAGACATCAAATTAGAGAATGTAATGTTGAGTAAAGAACCTAATCTAAAAATTATTGACTTTGGTCTATCTGTCTATATTGAGTCTAATAAACTATATCCAAGACATTGTGGAACTCCCACCTATATGGCTCCTGAGTTAAATTTAGAAGACAAACTAATTATAGGAGAAATTCTGAAGAAATCTGATGTGTTTGCACTAGGTGTATTAATTTTCATTCTTTGTTATGGCTGTCCTCCTTTCACCATAGCAAAATCTACTGAATGTAAATTTTGGCAAACCATAGAATAAAAAAAATGGTAAACCTTTTGGAATTACTTTGACAAAAAAATTATTAGATCAGATTAACATTTTAAGGATTTGATCTAAAATATGTTGGATCCTGATCATAAAACAAGATTCACAATTGAATAAGTCAAGTAACATTAATGGATGAATGACGAGGGAAATTTAAATGAACTATTATGAAAATTTAACTAATTATTGTAAATATTATATAATTACTATTATTATGGATTATATCAATATCATAAAAATATTATTTTTGATTTGATAATCCATTAGTAGATAAACACTCTACAGTAATCAAACATTTAGAGATTAATCAGAATCTATAAAAAATTGATAAAATAGTATATTCACTTAACATCTGTTTAATCAAAATGAAGTGTGTGAGTAAGTGCTACTTCTGAATATAATTAAATAATATTTCAAGTCTGTTTATAAGATGAATGAATTTTATACAATAAATTATTTTCATTTTAAATAACAAATGATTAGTAAATCTTTCTCTAAATGTGAAACACCTTCTTTGAAACATCAAACTAAAGTAAATTCATAAAAAACAAATATTTCTATATAAGAATAAAACAATCTATCTAAACATACTTAAGAGAATAAAAAAATTAAGTTTTTAGTTACAAATAAGTAACAAGGTTAGTCTGAATTAGATTTTTAGTAGTTTATGATAGAAAAAATGAATAAATATAGAAAAAATATTAGGAACCTTGATATTCAATATTAAATTAATCATTATGATTATTAAGTGTAAAAATTAGTTAATTAAGTGGAAAAATTAGATAATTAGATTATTTAAGCGTAAGATGTTTAATTCCCTAAATTATTAACCTTATCATATACTAATTTTTCTGAAGAATATAAAGTGTAGGAATAAAAGAATTATGATAAAATACTAGAATTTGATAAACTTATTATGAAACTTAGTTTGGATACAATTGAGATTTATGATTAGAAAGGAGTGTTATAAGAAAGTAAAAAATCTTTACCATTTTCAGATACACATTAATCAAAAAGCATTAAGTATAATCATATTTTTGGATAAAAGGATTTTAAATTATTATAATCAACTGGAATGTTTGTTACTAGTAATATTGTTGATTCTTATGCTAATTATTTAATGCTTGAGGATGAGAAAGTATACTTTAGTTTGAAAGCAGAAGATCGTAAGAAATATAAAAGAACATTCATTTTTTGTTCTGATTACATAACAAATTGTTCAATTAATAATGGAAACAATAAATTAAAATGGTTAACATTATTTTATGAATAACTGAATAATTTTGAGTCAATTTAATATTAATTTTGGCATATTTATCAGAATATCATTTTTGTGGTAAATCATAATTTCCATTGGTTTTGTATTTAATTGGATTTGAAAAAGGATATTATGGAAATTTATGATTCTATTCCTAAAAGTCTAACTGCATATTAATGTTTCTAAGTATTATTTTAAACAATTTTCAGTGAAATAATGAAAATCAAGCCTGAATTTAAAATCAAAATAAATAAAGAATTTTCACAACAAAAGGATAGTTATTCATGTGGTTATTTCTCTTGTATAGCATTGAATTATTTGTATTATAAATAATAATAAATGGAATAATAGATTGAAAATAAATAAAGATAGAAATTTATAAGTAAAGATGAGATGAAATAAATCTTAAGAAATTTATTGATTGAATAAGATGATGATTGATTATGTTGAATTCTAAATATTAAAATTCTTATAAATTTTACTAAAATGAAAACTCCCTTTTTTATTAGGATATTATGTTATAATTAGAATAAATTAAAATATTTCTTTTAATAATTGATAATTAGATTTATTTCATATTTTTTGCTTAACGTAAATTGAGTTAAATAAATGCAGCCCAAGAGATATATATAAAACAATTATCATCTCTAAAATATCTTTGGTAATGGTAATAGAAATAAGATATTAATGAAACTATGAACTAATGCTAGATCCTAATAATGAAATTGTCAAATATATTTATTTAATATTTTTAATCGAATAAAATTAAAAGGATAATTAGAGATCATAAATTCTGAGTAGAAAATATTAATTAGTTAAATTATTAAACATGGGATAAAGAAGATAGAAATTATTTATAGAATCATAGGGTAAAAGAATAATCAAAAATAAAAAAACATTTATTTATGTTAATTCAATCATATTCTTAAAGATAATACTTAAATATTCAGTTTAGATCAACACTTATAATCCTAAATTTTTGCTTAAAATTGATATAAAAATTAAGAGAAATCAAGATAATTTGCAAATCAGGACCAAGTATTATAAAATTATACCAGGCAATATTAGATTATAGTATTCCTACTCATATATTTTAGGAATGTTTAAGCACAATTTAGTTATATTTAATAAAAGCCACTTTATCAATTCAAACAAAATTAAATGAGGATATTGAAGAACATGTATACAATCTAGAATAAGGAAACACTATTTGAGATTGGAAAATAATTCCTTTTTCTAGAAATTTAAAGAAAGATTTACTTCTTTAGAGGTTGTTCAGCAGATTAAATTTATTTATATTATTTAGCTAAATAAGCAAAAAAGTATGATTAATTAATAAATTTTAATTTAAAATATCAATTTATATGATTTAATCAATAATTTTAACGAATTTGTAATTTGTATCAAAAGTAGTTTGCATTTTCAGTATATAAAATTATGTATAAATCTTTAAGTTTTAAAAATCTAAGATTATAAAAATTGAATAATAAAATGGAATAGATATGTATAGATATCACATAATATGGGAAATATGGTATTGAATTAATGAAGATTAAATAGTTATAATAAATATCAATAGAGTTAATGTTGGAATTTTGATTTAGTAATTGTTGTTTTATGGCAAGAGTATTAAGTTTATGATAAATAGTAAGTTAGATGGAACATATTATTATGGTAATTGTTTGAGATATATTAACAATTCTATAAAGAAATCAGATATAGTTAATTTTTTAGCTTAGATTTTATTCTCTAAAGATAGATGGAGAATTGGTATGTATATATTTATATAATTGATGAAGAAATATTCTTTGATTATTGAGATAAATTTTTAATTAAATGGTTAACTAATTTTAATAAATTATGTCACAATTACTACAAAAAATGATTACTTATCAATCAATAAATACATAAAGTAGGCTATTCTAGTCTGCTCCATTTAGTAAAGAGTTATATTTTCCTTGCTTAACCAACTATTTTCTTTAATTCTGGATTCTTTTATAAAGGACCATTCAAATCTGTTAAACCAGTACTCCAAGGGTATGCACCATGAGTAAGCAATAATTTAACTATCTCTTAATGATTTTCTGTAATAGCTATACTTAATGGAGTTCTATTCATCAAATCTAAAGCATCAAAATCTGCATGATAATGCAATAACATCCTTACCATATCTAAATATCCATATTTACATGCCCAATGAAGAGCAGTCATATTATAATAATCATATTAAAACACCAAATAAGGATGAGTTAATAAAAAACTTTACATCTATTCTAATCTATTCTATTTAGATGCAAATATAAATTCTTTAGAAAATTAACTCGAAAATGCTTTCTTACTAAATACTTACTTCTATATCACATCAACTATAGACAATCCTAAAAGTTTAATCTTTTTCAAAGAACGTCTTAAAAGTTCTATTCTTCTTCTATTACGTTTCCTATTACTTTAAGCAAAGAATTTCAAATTAGTTGCATCTATATTAGGAGTAGACTTAGCTGAAATTTCATGTATTCTCAATTTCCTTTTCAAACCACTTTTCACCTCTATTTCCATGTTTTCCCTATTAGGTCTTATCTCTAATTATTATGACTTTAACTCTCGTACTCTACTATACTATACTGATGATTGTCTATCAAATGCTTTTTAGGCTGTCTACGGTTTAGGTTCAATCAGTTTGTAATTTGTATTTGGATTTTGTTACATAAATAGTTTTCTATTCTTTTTATTTATCATCAAAGGTGAAGGACTATTTGATGCACAAATCTTATCAACGTTTTTAAAGTCTACAGTATCATATTAAACAATATGTTTAAGAGAGTGATTTCTCAAAAATTCTCTAATCTATTCATCTGATGGTACATTAATCTTTTATTTCTTTAATAATGACACCATTTTATTTGGAGGTAATACAAAAAACTTGTAATCGTAATCTAAATTATTCTACTATTTAATACCTTTTACAGCCAATCTATGTTTCAATTGTGGAAACCAAGGCTTGGCAGTATTTATTGTACACCTATTTGGAGTTGTTTGCTTGTCAATAATTCTCTTATAATAATCTTATTCAAACATTTAATTTTTACTATATAAATGCTCTAATTAAACAATATTATTATAAATCAATTTTAAACTATTCAATATAAAGTAATATATATGTATATAAGATAACATATAAAAATTTTAATTATTCATGTTATTATTATTATTTATATATTTATTTTGTAATTCTCTATGTTATTGTCAAAATTATATGATACTATTTTATATTTAAGTATTTCTAATTATTATAAAATAAATAAATACATAAATTTAGTTTTTTAGAATCAATCCCAAATACTCTCTTATAAGAAGAAACAATATAAAAATTAATTTATATAATTGAAATCTAATAATCATTTGCTTAATTGTTAAGTTAAACTTGAATGAATATGTATGAACCACTATGAAATCCCTATTGTAAATTTAGATATTTATAGTGATATTTTAATTATTTAATTTAACTATCTTTGATCATGAAAAGTTTTGAGAGTTCTATTAAATAACATATTCCATAATAAATTATAAGAGCAGCAGAAAAATTTGAATCACTTTTTGTAAAGGAGACACACCATCATTAATCTTAAATCTTATATTTTAAAATAATGGCCAAAAATCAAAAGAGAATAAAAAAACAATTATAATAGGAACCGAAGATAGGATTATCTGAGTTGGGTCATTTACAATAAACATTAAGAAAATCAGGAACATTTGGAATTGAAAACTCTTAATCAATTATTGTAAATATATTTATATAATATAATTCTTTAGCATTGTATGCAAATATTAAAACCTGAATTTGAGAGATAAATATATATTGATGAACTCACAACTGTAGTTAGTGAACAAATACCTTATGAAAATTATGATTTTATCTATGATTGTTGTGATATTAATTTATGATAATATTCATATATCATAATTATTTAATCTATTATAATGATGGTTCATTTGATATTAGTATTCAAATAATCATTTTTATATATCTTTTTATGGTTAAAACAATATATGAGTAGAATATATAGTGTTATAGAAGTCATTTATTGAAATAAACTATTTAGTTTATTAATTATTCTAAATTCTAAATATAATTCATATAGATAAAAAGAATAATACATAAATTAATAAATAAAGTGTTGATTTTTAATTCTTTTATGTATTTCTTGATTTTCATAAAATATAATATTAGTTTTAATAAGAATTAATTTATTTGATTGAGTATTTATAATATTTCATTTTAGTAATTAAATGAAAAAACTTTCTATTTTCTTTTAAAGATTGAAATACTAAAGAATAATATATTTAATTTAAGGATATTAATAAATATTATAAGAATTTTGATATCGAATTCCTTTTTTCCTAAAAAATTATAATTTTTAATATTTAAATGTATTTATTCATCACAGAAAAAGAAGGAATAATTTTTTGATGAAAATGAACTGATTTAAATATATGTCATTGAAGATGACTTCAAAATAATTGAAAATTATGGATTATCTAATTTTATTCTTAAATATTTATATAAGAAATAAATTATATTAAGGTTATTTAACTAAATCTATATTTTCTTTCAATATTGTATTATTCCAAAAGGTTCATCATCATCCTAATAATAAATCAGAACAGCTTAAACATCCAATTTGATCTATAGTATTTATTTGAATAAGAAAAAATATCAATATAAAAATAATTTGAAATACATAAATTTAGTAAATTTGCTTGACCCCTATATAGTAGCTAGAAGATATTATCAATAATTTATTTGAATAAATACTATTAGAGTAATAAATGAATATCAATAATTAACATTAATAAATAGAATGCTTTAAAATATAAAAATAAAAATTACTTTTACCTTTTTGAGGGGGTGAATCGGAATAAGCTGATTATTAAATAAATTATACTTTTGTTAAGGAAGAAAATAATGAATAAATAATACTCTATTAAAGTTAAGGATTATAAATAAGAATTGATAAAAACTAAATACTAAAATATATCGAGTTAGAAATTCGAAATGAATATTTGAGATAGATAAAAAGTAAAACATTATTCTTATCATACTAATCGAAAAAAGAATTAAATAATTATAAATTATTAATAATTAAGTCTTTTATGGAATATATTAAGTGATTTAAAGCTATATCAATAAATTTTGACTAATTATATTAAAAAGCAATCTATAATACTTATCAATAATCTAATTTTGTATGATATTCTATGCTAGTTAATAATTTATAATATTATATATCAATCTATATTATTGAAATGGTTAAGACGACCTTTAGAAATTTTCTTATTAAATAAATAGTAATAGAAAAGTTGAACTAGAAATGTAGATATTTATAATAGTCATTAAATAATCTTAAGGAATGTGAAAGAAGTATTTTTAGAATAATGTTCTATACTCATTATTAAAAATAAAAATTTTTAGAATGGGAAACAGTATTATTAGAATACTAATTAGATATTTGTGGGATTGATGAAGAAAAAAAGCAAAACTTATAGCCAGAGTCTAAAGTGATAAGTACAAGAACGATAAATTAAATAACCATTTAAATTGTTTAAGCAGATATTGTAGAGGAATTAGTAGATGTAGTAGGTAAATTTAAAAGTAAATTTTAGTGAATTGTTCTCATGAGCCAGCCTGGTCATATATATCTAAACGGTAATTAATATAATGATCTATTAGTGATAATAATAATAAAACAAATGAACTCCTTTAATAAAGTATTAATGCAGCTCTATAACAATAGTGAAAATTGGAGAGTTAATAATAACGAATACAGAAAATGTCAATTCAGTCTAAATATTTCATATTAGATTGCCAATATACTAAGTAATGATTTTATATAAAATAAGGATGCAAAGGACTTATTATAAATATTTAATGCTTATAAAGAATGTCTAAAATAAAAAGGGCATAAAACCATTTCTTTTACTGAATAGAACACTCCAAATTTCTAAATACCTAAATAATTTCATGCAGAAGTATTGATAAGAGCCATTCTTTCGTAAAAAATAATTAATTATAAAATAGAGCAATTTAAGAAGAAGAGGTAGAGTTTGAGTTGATAAAATTTGTAAGTTTAGATTAATTAACTTTAAAATATTTTGCCTATGAATTGATGAAATAATTAGACGAATTAAAAATTCCTGAATTATTTAAACTACGATATCAATAATTTTAGAACTTTTTATGTATTAAATGATAAATATATAAATATTTAGAGAATGGAGAAGATACAAAATAAGAGGTTTATCTTTTGAGTACTGGAATAACTACAGAAATTGAAGGTGTTGTGGAATAGTAATGACTTTTTAGTTAATAATATTTATTATATATATTTTTAATTAATTTTTGAATACTAAATTACATAAACTAAACATAAGAATCATTATTAAAATTGAACTTTTTAAGTAAATTCTATTTCATATCCAGATAGTACTTTGATTATAGCAATAAATTATTTCCCAGGAGGTAGTTCAATATTGAGTGTTACTCCTCTATGAGGTTTACAAAATCTTAGACCATAAAATTTATGGAAAGATATTTTACTAATTAATTTAACATTTGATTAATTGTCAATAAAATAATAACCCCAACCATCTAATCTATCTAAATTATAACAACTTTATATTTTTGGTTATCCCATAGTGTCATAACTTCTTTTAGGTTGTTAAACAAGACCTTTCTTTATGAAAACACTTGGGAGCATTTCAGGAATCTTTTTTATTTATTTAAATTCAAGTTTATCAATTCCATATGAAGATAGAACAAAGAAAAATTCTTAATGATATTCCCAAATCACTTTAGCAAATACAATATATTCACCTTTTGTTAATGTACATTTACACCATACTTCTCCAAATTAACTTAATTTACCAGCTATATATGTATATGTATTATTTTCTTCTTTTTTACAAATAAATAATTTTGCATTACTATATTTTGGATTTCCTTAAAATCTTTAATTTCTTTAATTTATAGTAATATAATAATCTCCTTCTTTAGTTATTTTAAAAGAATAATAAACAGCCTTTTTTTTATTTGATTTAATTTATGTTGCAGAATATTAATAATCTTGTTTAACATGACAAATATGAATATCTCTAAATTATTACATAAATGATCCAATATCCATATAAAATACACCAGAATCTTCTGTATCTAATTTTAATTCTTATCTTAATTATGGAGTCCATAATGAACTATCATATCCCCAATCTCCTGTCCATTCTTTTTTTCCCCAAGGATTTCTTAATTTCAAAAGTTCAACTTATCCTCTTTTTGGATGATTAATTTATCTTATTTTAAGAACAGAATAAGCATGATTTGGAACCAATCCTTATGTAATTGGTTAAACATCACTACTTTAAGTAGCTGCAACCATAATAACTTTATTAGCAAGACATTTTCTAAGTTGAGCAATGAATTCTGGCGATTAAGTCCATATAACTTCAGTTGGTGCTCCAGTTAATGCTCTAAGTACTTCTTACATTGAACCTGATGCACTATTTTGATAAGATCCAAATAATTTAGCCCAAGCTTTCTCTAATACCATAACCCAAATAGCATTATTTTTAGCTTTAGTAAATATTGGTGTTAAATTAGGATAAACTGGAAAGTAATCATCTACATATATAGCTTTCCATATTCCATCTATACATAATCTTATACAATATATTCCTTATTCATTAATTGCTCTAGTAATAAAAATATCTAATAATAAATCAGGTCTTCTATTTCCCAAAGCAGAAATTGAAGCCAATAAATAACAATTTCCTAATTATCCTTGTATAATATCTTAGGGTCCAATATATTTTCCAAGACCAAATCTTTTGTTATCATTAGCTTTGGCAAAAAATTAATAATCTCCATTGAAAATAACATTCAATCTTTACCATGTAGCTTAATAATTAGATCCAACACTTCTATCGTTAGGACCAAATCTAAGATCAATATAATTTTTTTCTTTAATTTTAAGTTCATCAAAAGTTTTAATGAATTCATTCATATTAGATATTTACATATGTTATAAAGTAACTTCTTCAAATTAAAATTTGCTTATTAATATGTCTTATTAATCATTTGATGATTATTGTCTTTTTAATTTGATTTCTTAAACTTCCTCTAATTAAAATGTAACATATGTTAACATAAATTGATTTAATTATTCTTAATTAATTTACCAACCACAATCCTTAACAAAACAGACACAATAATCTTCATAATATTTTTAGATACAATCATAACATAATCTATGATCACATATTTCATTATGAAATAAACCTTAATTATTTGAATGACAATAATCACATTTATATGAAACTGATTCTGTCATTCTATTATCAATATCTATTTTGATTTCTTGTTTTTGTGGTTAGATTTAAACATTTTATTATATAAATTTTGATTGTTATTATTTTTGTTATTACACTTGTTATTATGGATTTACTTATGCTTATTATCCTTATTGTTATTTTGGGTTAATAACCTTTGCACTATTTTATTACTATAAAACTCTATCTGTTATTTTCTACATTTAAGATTTAGATTTTGTTTAAATTGGCACAGGAGAACGTTCTTAAATTGATCTTCTAGGTTGAGTATTTTTCTCTTATTTTCTTGGAGTATTTAAGTTTTAATTATTCTATTTTACAGCTGTTGCTTTATTTTATTGAGATGGTGATGCTATTATGATTACTACCAATTTTACTCAATTTTTTTGGATCTCCTGCAAACATGGTAACCTGTTTACCAAATACCATTTGATTGCTACCAGATAATTTTTGGAATTGTCTATTCATAAGATCTGCTATATTCAGAAAATTAGAGCATTATTTCTCTGAACAATTCGAACCACCTTCAGCAGTAATTTGATCTATGCATTTATTACAATATAAATGTCCACATTTTGCTTTATAAGATGAACTTTCTTTTGTCTCCAATTAACATTTCACACACTTAAGTGATGACTTTATCATGATAAAAATTTATATTTAATTTCAATTAAAATGATAAGATATAATATAGAGTAAGAAATAGAATTCATTAGGTCAGATAGAATTTGTCAGATTTTACTTAATCCAATATTTCATGTTTCTAAGTTTTATCTTATTAAAAATTTCATCATATCCTTTAATAACACTTGAACTTTTTTTAAATATAAAGACCCCATTATAGACTCAAACTTAAAATAATATTTGTATATTAAGAATCTAATTAATTTATTTAAGCCCATTTCTATCTTTGTTAATATCAATTATGTTTTTGTATTTAAAATTATTAATTTTTAATATTGTATCTAAAGCTATTAATTATCAGTTGATATATAATTTATTTCTCATATTAATAAACAAAGTTTATAACTATTTAAATTCCTAGTATAAAATCCAGCTTTGATTATTATCCATATATATTATCACTTTATTAAATTAAATTTAGAATATTAGAATCTATTAAAAATGCTATTAATTAATAAATTATACATAATATGACTTATGAAACTATTAATCAATAGAGTTGAATGAACTAATTAGAAAATCACTTGTATTCAATTTAAAATTTTATAGTAATTAATTAATTTTATTTTTCAAGAAATTTTTTTTTTTTTCTAGATTCAATCTATTCATTCTTCTTAGCAATATTCTGGGTATATTTTTTATTAAACTTCTTATTCCTCATTTATTTATACTTAAAACACTTTGTTTTAATACATTTTTAAAGATATTCCATTATCTTATTAATATTTGTCAAATTCTGATCTTGTTATTTTAATATCATCAATCTTAATCAAACTTATTCTTTCTTTTTCAAATTTTTTATTTAGACAATTAAAACAATATACTTTAGAACCTTATTTTGGCTCAAAAAATTTATCTCTTTAATTTAAGCAGGATCCGCATAATCTAGTTGTGTTTTATACAATTTACTATTTTCTTTTATATGATTATTCATTTTTTTTAACTAATTCATTTTCAATTACCCTGTTTTCAATAGATTTTATTTCTTTTTTCTTGAATCTTTAGATACCCCCATATTGATGATGCAAGTATATGGATATCATAAATTATAATCTTAAAAAAGAATAAATCGCACAAGAAATCTCTAATGATTATTCTAATATGCAAACAATAACAGGATTTTAATATTCCTTCTTCTAATATAATTATTTTGTAACAGCTTTGTCTAATTTTGGTTTTTAATATCTCAAAAGATTAGTAATTTTATTGTTATTATTTTCTATAAAAGTTATAAACTCTATAGCCTATTATTCTAAGATGCATATTGTTTTTCCATCGATATGTTACACTAAAATAAATGGCTTTGATATCATTTATTATATTTATATTAAAAATTTATTTTTTCAATAATATTCAAAAAAGAAAATATCATAGCTCCAATCATGATCCCAAAAGAATATAACTAAATAATAAATAAATTTATAATATTTCAAAATTGTAAAAATTTATGATAAATCAAACTAATCTATTTGAATAATGTGTAAAATTTCTGAAATTTTAAGAATAATGATTATTATTTATTCCTAATCGGTAATCTTGATCTAAGTTTGAATATATAATACTATTTTATTTCTAAGGATAATATGATTATTAAGAATAAGGTTAGTATTTTTGTAAAGTCATATCATTTCTTAAATTATATTTATCATTTAATTATTTTTAAGTTTCGTAAACTCTTTTTTAAATTGTATCAGTAGTAACATTTCTTTTTACTGCAGAACCTTCATTCTATCTGAGTCTATCAATATTTGAAAATTTCTAACTAATACTAGTTTATTAATATGGTTATTAATAATAATTTGATTATGTAGTTTTGGGTAGAGTATTTTCAAAAATAAATTCAATTTCAATAGGTTTAGTGGGTAAAATTAAGTTTTATTTTATTTGTATTTTTTTTGATGTAGATTATTCACATTATGGACAATTTTTATATTTTGTTAAAATACAACATACTCCTATTTCATGAATTTTACAATTTATCTCTTATTTCCTGTTATAATAAGAAAATTATTATTAACAATTTGTACAAAATCCATTATAAAATTAAGATTCTTATTAATCTAATAATTTAAATTCATCTATTTATTAATACAAAATTATATCCTCAAGATCTGTCTAAAAATCTTATTTTGCTTATTAAATTGGCTATTATTAAATTTATTTTTTTTAATTTTAATTCTATTTAATAAATCTATTTGTTGAAATAACATCCTTTTATTATTATATTTGAAATTCATCTTTTTATTTTTAATTTTCTTATTTATTATTAGTATTTTCAAAAAAATTGGTT